GAGAGAGAGAGAGAGAGAGAGAGAGAGAGCAAAGTATATGTTTGATTTGATTTGTCGATCTGTGAAGAAAAGTCTATTACTTTAGTTTGAATCACTTGACCATAAACTGAGAAATGTTTTACTGACAAACATTGTTTTACTCGGATCTTAATTTCTATTATATTTAACAGTTGTGTTTATATATTGATTGTTTTGTGAGTTTAGTATTTTTGTTTCTAGCGTCTAGTTCTTCGTTATTTCGTTAGTATTAGTTTGTGATAAACTTATTTAAGTTTCACTGCATTTATACTTCACGAAAAAAGACAGCAAAACGTTGAGAAAAAGTAGTGGAAGACGAAGAGGAAAATAGCAAAACTGAAAGCAAAGTTAGTTTTATTTTGTGTCCAATGTTTGCATAGATAGTACAGAATTGAGTTACTGTTAGGTCTGAGCGATAGATAGATGTGATTCACTGTAGAAACAAAATAAAACTAGAATTTAGGGTTCAGTGACGTGCGTTTGGCTTCACGTTTGTATGGTTTGGATGTTTTCAAGTGTTGTATATCTGTATATACAGTATATTCAGATATATGCTCTCTCTTTATCATACTTTTGCCATAATATGCAACTTTACTCTAAACGCTAGTCTCTGTGCAAATGCTGGTGTTTAGCGCCACTACTGATGCCTTAGTGTTTCTCCTTTTTATCTATTCAATAGAAGTATCACATTATAGCCCATCAAAGACACCATCATCTTTGCCGTCATCGCCAACCAGTTTACAAAATATCACAAAAACTGCAACCAATCTTTCAAATCTGTGCCAAAGACTTACGCTAAACATTTTTAAAGAGTTAAATGTTGTATAGAAATATTGAGAGCATATTCTGCATTGTATTCCTTTCCAAACTGATAGTTATTTTATTTTATTTTAGTGATCGGAGAGAGAGAGAGAGAGATAGGGTTTTTGGTGCGATCGCTGCTCTGCTCTCTCAGAAAATGGCATTGCATTTGCCATTGCATTGCACTCTGAATGCCTTATTTAAGATCAATACAAGTATTGGATGCAAAGCTGTATTGCATTGGTATCTGAGAGCCAAGTCCTGTAAGACTTGATTTAAATTTGCCGTCATCGCCAACCAGTTTACAAAATATCACAAAAACTGCAACCAATCTTTCAAATCTGTGCCAAAGACTTACGCTAAACATTTTTAAAGAGTTAAATGTTGTATAGAAATATTGAGAGCATTGTATTCTGCATTGTATTCCTTTCCAAACTGATAGTTATTTTATTTTATTTTAGTGATCGGGGAGAGAGAGAGAGAGAGAGAGAGAGAGAGAGAGAGATGGGGGTTGTTGTGGTGCAAAAATCTCCGCCCTTTTGCTATAATAAAAATACTTTTCGATATATACTGGAGAATAATATAAGAGTAAATTAACTCTGAAAACCATTTGCAGATCAGATCATCGAAAGCAGAGTTTGTTGTAATTTTGAAAAGAAATAATAAACAATTTTGGATGAAAGCAAACGTGTTATGCTTTTTTATTTAAGCATTTTATTTCATTTGCGAACATTTCAAACATCATTTATTGCATTTATAGTGTATATAAAATAAATACAAAGATTTATTTATAGATTAATAAATGGTTGGGATTCTCTCTTTTGAAAGAGCATACAAATAATACATAAACAGAGGCTAACAGTGTTTTAGCAATATTTCAAAATAGGATGGATTAGTGAAGGATGAGCTCAAATAAGAGTAATTGTAATATTAATCGAGAAACTAAACAACAAATGCTATGAAATGCTATGAAATGCTATGCAAGCAATACATGTATATATGAGATGGAGAGGGAGGAGAAGGAGGAGAGGGAGAGAAAGTTATGCCATCGATAGCATAGTTGTATTAATGTACAGTATATGTGTATATATACTGTATATTGTGAAGCATATATAGTGTACATAATATATTTAAGAGAAAAACCATTTGCAGATCAGATCATCGAAAGCAGAGTTTGTTGTAATTTTGAAAAGAAATAATAAACAATTTTGGATGAAAGCAAACGTGTTATGCTTTTTTATTTAAGCATTTTATTTCATTTGCGAACATTTCAAACATCATTTATTGCATTTATAGTGTATATAAAATAAATACAAAGATTTATTTATAGATTAATAAATGGTTGGGATTCTCTCTTTTTAAAGAGCATACAAATAATACATAAACAGAGGCTAACAGTGTTTTAGCAATATTTCAAAATAGGATGGATTAGTAAAGGATGAGCTCAAATAAGAGTAATTGTAATATTAATCGAGAAACTAAACAACAAATGCTATGAAATGCTATGAAATGCTATGCAAGCAATACATGTATATATGAGATGGAAAGGGAGGAGAAGGAGGAGAGGGAGAGAAAGTTATGCCATCGATAGCATAGTTGTATTAATGTACAGTATATGTGTATATATACTGTATATTGTGAAGCATATATAGTGTACATAATATATTTAAGAGTGAATACAATGATGTGTATGGGAAGTGCTTTTGTTCCTTTCCTACCATTAAACTGCAATTTAGTTCAGAATGTCCTGAACCGAGAGTCTATGGTTACGTTATGTCGAAACGTAGGTTATGAACATAACTAGAATTTATTCCGTAAGTCTCACGTTACGTTACCGTTTACGTTACGGTAAAAGACAGAGAGCAGAGCAGCGATCGCACCAAAAACCCTATGATATATATGATGGAGAGAGAGAGAGAGAGAGAGAGAGAGAGAGAGCAGTGTTGGTGGAGTGGAGTATTGCGATGGCATTCATCTATTAGACTGCCTTTCCATCAGACCTACAATTCCCACCTAAGGAACCGTATGAACGCTATTCCGACGTTACTCTACATTTAGGTACACATACTCTGAACACAACTCACCAACAAATGCATCAAACATTGAAACAAACCGACAGCTCGTCTCATACTTTGCCATCAAAACATATCATTTCTTATATACACTAAACTCTATGCGATTGACATTTACTTAACATTCAATTTATTTATGTTATTTATAAATAGAAATATGTTTACAAAAATACAACTTTTATTCAAATAACTTATTTATTATTAAATTAATTGAAATGCATTTTTGGTTATTTGTAATCAACATAAAAGTGTGCATTAAATTAAATGTAAATTTCTTTGTTTCAAATTATGTATAGTTCGTTCAATTCAGGCAATTATTGTTAATAAATGTAATGAACTAAACATTAAAATTATTGAATGATTTGTTGTGTAATTTAAATACATTATCTAAAACTCATTTCATATAATTATATTCATCAAAGAAAATATATTGTAATTTAGATGTCATTTGAGAATTAAAGTGTATCTCAATATAATAACATGTTATATATTTACATCTAATAGAGAGAGAGAGAGAGAGAGAGAGAGAGAGAGAGAGACTGAGCAAGATGCTGTGTGTGTTGTGTATTTCGTTCAATAGTTTTATCAAAAGTATGCACTCAATCATAGATTTAGTCTTCTATTAATACTAGTGCTCGACTC